TACCACACCTTGCTGTCGCCCCCGTCCCCCTCCTTCCTGGAAGCCAAGGCGGGTGTCGACGTGACCTGTCTGCCCTGGCTGGCCGACGACGACGACGATCTGCTCCGCGCCCACGTGGGAGCTCGCCATGCCCAAGGTGAGCTTGCGCTCTTGCAAAATGGCCGCCCGAAGACGTAGCCACATTTCAAGATGCAGATTTAGATATAAAATATAATACAGAAAGCGGTTCAAAGGTATTTAAAAAAAAAGATCCATTTCAAAATGGCAAAATAAAATCAAATCCAAATGTTCTTGGGTTTTTTTTCCCTTCATTTGATTTTGCACCTCCACACTGCAAAGGTTTGGATTTAATTATGAGCACCATTAAATGGTTAATTGCAAATGTATTTTGCAAAGACAAATACAAGGTCACTCCACATACTGTCTGAGTGCTTTACATAGTCAAATTTTAGTTTTGAATGTTTTTGCCATCAAAATAATGAAAGCTAATGAACTGAGTTTGGCTTGCCATCAGTTAACTCGCATGGAGCAAAAGTTAGTCATCACCACATACTTCGTGTAAATAGAAAAATACACGTCAGTCCAGCAAAAAGTTTGTTTTGCTGGTTGGCTACCAAGAAAAATATGCTTACGGTAGATCACAGGACTTGCGTGTGTACATATTGCGGTTTTGTGTCGGGGTTGGATTGAAACTGTCCGCAAGACTAATCCGGGCCAACATCAAAGCCTCGTGTGTGCTGTTGGCAGGCGTGGCATCAACAGTTCTGCACGACTCGCAAAACCGGTTTTTGTCTGCCCCCTTAGCTGAGCTTAAGGACCTTTGAAAATATTTTCGACGTGAGCTCTCAGCGCTGTGAATCGATTGTCTTCCCGGGGGCCGCTTGACGTCGTTTCCCAGATGCGCTCAACCTTTAAATGATGCTGCAAATTGTCACGCGCGTCAACGCAAGAGTCACAAGCTTTGTTGCCGACGCAGTCAAATGTGGGCAGGGCTTGATCCAGAAGGAGGGAGAAGTCCTAAAAACGTGGGGAAGATGAGCCCCGGAAGCCACTTTGACACCAAATGAAGTTGAGTGGACAGGAAACGCGCGTTGAAATCGGTCAAACGCTCGTCAATGGCAAATTTGAAGCCGGGGTGGCTTTTATGTCCCCAGTGTGTTATTTTTGCCGCTGATTTGGGTGGGGGGGGGGTACAATATAGCTTTTACCATGTGATTTATGAATAGCTATGAAGTTTCAGGGGGTGCCTTTAAGTCTGCTTGCTTGAAGGCAACATCATGTGAAATCCGCTTGATAGGCTCACGGAGGGCAGCATGTTGCAGACGGTCCGAACACACAAACGGAGCAGGGACATGCGAAGCGATCTCGAGGGAACGTAATGAAAACGCTGACCTGTTTGCAGACCACGACGATGACTTCGCCGGCATGGACTGGATGTCGGAGAAGATCGACTTCAGCGACTTGGACCTGGAGTCTCTCATCGGCTCCTGCTCGTCGGATGAGCCCCCCGCCTCCCCCGAGGACCTCTTGGCCTCCCTCCGCCCCCACGTGGATCTGGACCCGGAGCCCTTCCACGTCAGCCACCCCGAAGACCCCGTGGGGGTGATGATGAAGGTGGAGCCCTGCTCCCCGGGCCCACCTCCTTCCCCGGGATTTGCCGAAGCGGACACCAAGTCGCCCCTCGCCACCATCCGCCCGAATCCCGAGCCCACGCCGGAGGATGTCTTCATCAAGACCTCGCCGTCCAGCGAATGCGACAGCGACTCGGGCATCGAGTCTTCCGCCGGCTCGCCCCGCGCCAAACCCTACGCCAGACCCGAGCCCCTGTCCGGATCTTCCTCGCCCTCCCCGAAAGCCAAGGTGAAGTCATCGTCGGGCGCTCCCAAGGTGGTGGAGAAGAAACTGAAGAAGATGGAGCAGAACAAGACGGCGGCCACGCGCTACCGCCAGAAGAAGCGCGTAGAGCAGGAGCAGCTCAACGTGGAGCGTGAGGCCCTGGAGACCAAGAACCGAGAGCTGGCCGAGCGCGCCGACGCCATCAGCCGAGAGATCCAGTACCTCAGGGACCTGATGGAGGAGGTCCGCAAGCGCCACCGCGGGAAGATGAGCGCGGCGGCCAAATAGGCGGACGACTTTGGTATGCGCCTGCGTGTCTCCCGCCCAAATGTACTCCTTGCAAAATTGGGCTTTAGAAAGAAATGTCAGGGCGAACCGTTAGACGCGCGTCTTCAGAAAAGTAAACTAAAGGCGAAAATGAAGTCCACCCGTAAAGGGTCGAGTCCATCGTCTCAAGGTGCGCATAATGTAAACGTTCCGCAATAGCGTTGGGTTGGGACCACTGCCCTCCTTGAAATCCAAACCGATGCTCAGATTCAAATCAATTTTGGTGACACACCTCACGTTGTCACTGCATCCTGAAAATCCACTTTCATGAATTTGTATTTGACTTTGACCAACCTCGAGTGGAACCCACAAATCCCCCTCTAGTTGCCATAGCAACCTTCCTCTGGTCCAGATAAGGGCCTCTCAAGTGTATGAGTTTTCTTCAGGCCTGCCTGCGTGCGCGGTGTTTGTGTGTACATATTTTGTAGCTTCCCATTGCAACTTATAGTTAGCCGCCCAGGTTTTATTTAATTAATGCTAAACGTTTATGTCCCTCAATAGTTGCCGTGCTCTTAGCTTGTACAAATGCGCTCAGATGCCTATCTTTGTTGCAACTGTTTTTCTAATAAACTTTACTTCTCTTTAGTCTCAAGTAATGTCTTGGGGTTTTTTTTGGGGGGGGGGGGGCTTTCAGACAAAATTATACACGATATCTTGCGTGACCAAAACAAATGAGTGGCGGTGTGGCACGCAAAAAAAAAAAAAGCATCTGACTTGCACATGCTCGCTTTTAAGGTCAACTCATGGCAGTGCTGAGGTCTCGTGTTCTCCTCGAGGGCCTGCTTTAGGATTTAAGACAATTATCTTGTCCGACCACGATCCCTCATGACCCTCAGATGACATTAGGTGCAGATTAGCGCGTTTGTCGTCCATAAGGATTTCTGGCTCCCGACACTCACGTCCCAGCAAGAATTACCGGTACTTGGTTTCTGTGTGTTGTTCTATTTTCACGAGTGTTATGACAGTAAAATGTCTTTCAGTTCACTTTAAAAAAACGTGAAATATGGGCGCACAACGTTGAGCGAATCATAAAAATCGGAAGAACCAGAATTTTAACTGAAGCGCGGAAGATGGGAATACACCGCTCTCTGGTGGCCAATCGCTGCTCCTACACTATTTTCTCAGTCTGCACAAAATCATACGCAAATTTCCCCAGTGTGGGACAAATAAAGGTTATCTTCATGTCCTGAGTATTCGAGTACATTTAGAACATACGTATTCAAAATTTCTGATGATCACTTTCATATTCAGAAAATTTATAAAGTATTCAGAAGTTGAGGATAGCTAGCAAGATATTCCTATTTCAGAGTATGTGAGTCCAACTCATAAAATTAAAGTATGTATTTATACTCTGAAAACGAGGACATCAATATTAACATTTTCTGAGCAAGACTGCATTATGTATTATGATCTTTGGGGAGCCTGAACACCCATCAAGAGCAAAACAAATTAAAACGTTTATCATCAGTTTTGTGACGTCATAATGGCGCTAATTAACATACAGAACGCCACACCTAGCGAGGATATCAGCCAATGACATTATCAGCTAGGCTGGCTGAAGATCCAAAGCCAAAAAAAAACCAATTTCAAATCAAAAAGTAAGCAGAGCTGCAGTGTCCCAGCATTGGCCTCTTATAACCCATGCCAACAAAATCTCAAGTCATTCAGCATTAGACAGGACATTTTTTTAATCGTCAATTTCTTGTCAAATCTGAACAAAGTCTGGTTTCCGGGGTGTAGGTGTTGTTTTTTTCTTTCACGTCCTGCCAAAATATTCCTTCTGGAACTGCTGGAACTCCTCCTCGGTGAACACCGACTGTGTCTTTTTGGGCTTGTGAGCGGCGGGCCGATTGGGCCGATTACGGGACAGTCTTCCTTTGTTGTAGTTCTGGATCTGAGCGAGAGACAACAGACGTGGTCGTTTATTTATGCGTTTTACATGAATGCCGACAAAATATGAACTCTCACTTTTAATGTGTCCGACGCGGTGGCCTTGAAGCTGGTTCTCGTGAAGTATTTCAGGTTGGCCGTCATCTGACTTGTCTCCTTTGTTTTCCTGAACTCGTCTGAAATCGTCCACACGGAAGCCATATGCAAATGAGTGATTTAATTACCACTTGTGGAAACTATTCCGCTCATGTCAGTTAGAGGCCATTACAGTCGCTAGTCACTTTTCTGAAAAATAATCAGCGGAACTCTCCATTTGTGCTATTTGCACACTTTAAACGACACAAGCTGCAAATAATAAAAATTGTCCTGGCCAAAAAAAATAAAAAATCTTGAATTGACCGATAAAAAACAATGAAAGGCCCAATTCAGGAAAAATGTAACATTTATACTGAAACATCACGAGGGCTCAGCTCAGCAGCCGTCAAAGGCTTACATTTGTGCTTATTTTATTTTTTTCCACTCTACATGTGCATTGTCATCAAAGTTAAGGCAGAGTCCGTTGTTATTTTCTACTTTTGCCCCTAACTGTACTGAACTTGTTTCACGGCTGTTTCTTTTGGCCTGTAACTTTCCTTATCGTTTAGAGCTAGTGCATGTTTAAAATTGATGATTGTAGCGATTGTCCTATTGGATTAAAAAAACAAAACAAAAAAAGACTTTCCACGAAACAACGAAATGTGCACGTGAGGTGTGGGTGATATTGTTGTCCACTTGGTGTCGCTGTGTTAACGTTCAGCACAGGAGGATCTTGTGCTTCTTGTCAAGGTTTGGTGCGGTCGGGTGAGTGACGTGCGGTCGTCGAATTCGTGCAACATTAGCTGTTGGACACTCAGGTCAACAGCCGGCTGTTAACGAGCAAACGGTTAGCCCATTTGCAACAAAATACACACGCTCATTTGTTTTTGTGGTTTAACATAAGTCATTTTCCACAACCTACTGGGGGTAAAAAAAAATCGATTAAAATCAGAAATTGAACTTTTTGGGATGGAAAAAAAATGGTTTCAGCTCTGCATTCCATGTTCGTCAAAATTAGTGTGTACTGTGACGGGACCCTACTGACCCAGGGCGCACTTGATCATCTTATCCTTAACCGTCGCTTTGCTCTTGCCGGGTCCGAGACGACCCTGTAGCCGCTTCACCTGCCGGGTGACACCTTGGCGGTTGGTGCTCACTAGCGCCTTTGCCGCCGCCGTATTGGGCGTCCTTGCCTGCCGCTTCTTCACGTTATTTCCAGCTGGCAGGAAAAACAGCACATACATAAAGTGGAAACCTTGTCTTCCGTGCGCCCTTACCAGTCCATACCGTTTTGGCCCTGTGGTGTATCATTTCTAATTTCATTTCATGTCATCAATTACCTTCTTAATTGTTACCGGCCTACAAAGCATCATATCACTGATGATAGTACAAATTGTGATAATTTACCTAGTTGCATGTCGCTGGTATCAGTGTTACTTATTTTACTTAATTTTCATCAGTATAAGCAACGGTACCGGGCTCTATTTCACTTGGTATCAAATCAGGATTGAGTTGGAAATCTTTTTGGGTGATACCAGCGTCTATTTTACTTAAATTCGTGTTAATATTGTTCGTTACCCATGTAACCAGCCTGAATTTTGCATATTTGTATTGGTACTCTCACCAATACGAGCCGATAATTTAAAGGGGATTGTAAGTGTTAATTGATAGGTGAGTTCCGTTTCAGTATCTTTTCTTTTAGATGGTATTGCCCACCATCTGCACCCAACAAAATGCCAAATTAAAAAAAATGTCTTCAATGACGTACACTAGCCAACATTAGGCACACCAATCGCCTTAGAATAAACTCTGAAGGACTTCATAAGTCAACTGACTACTGTTTTTCGCTGCAGCAAAATTGTGGCTAGTACGTAGCTAGGCGTCGTCACAAAGTACCCGGATCTTCACTTCCTTCGGCGCTTCAGAAACCCGGCGGGAATATAAAGAATTTACGTCTGCAGTTTGAATCGCGAACCAATTACTTATACTATTTTATAATCCAAATACAGTTTTGAGCATGGAAAGTTATACAGGAGTCGACACGGCGGCATTCTTGCAAGCACGGCGTGGTTACGACAATTCGCGGCTAACGTGAGCCAGCAAGCCGATCGACGGACTTAAAACGTACTTTTAATGTCGTTACTCAGCAGTTCCAATCCTCTCCTGACCAGCGACGCGGACATCTTGACTTATTCCGGGGCGTTTTGCTTTCCAGAAACTTAAACTACACCAGATGAATTGTTAGCATGTGTACGTTTTCATGTCAACATCCGGTTAGCTCACGGTGCGTGTTGCTAGTAAAGGAGCCGGGCGGAAATGAACTGAAATGCAAGACTTCCCGACTTCTAAACGTCACCGAACGCATTTAGCGCTTGCTCAAATCATAGGTGCTAATAAAAAAAAATCATAGGTGCTAATGCTGAAATAAACCTTATGTCAACGTTTTTTTGGCGGAGGGCACTGAAAAAGGATGAAACTTTACCGGCCTTTTATTGGCGTTTAATTGTGAGCAACATGTATCAACAACCTTGGCCGAATCACCCTGAGAGCCGAAACACATTTCACAACATATACAAATAATTAGCAAACATAGTTAATGCTCTCCAATAAATATTGACAAACAAATGCTCTGTCAGTGTAAAAATTAGCGTTTGGTATGACTCCATTACGACCTCTGGCCGTACTTTTGACGTCAAGTTACCTATTTTGGAACCGCGCTAAAAAGGAAGCACGAACAGCAAGTGACAGTTAAACGCAAATTTCAAAATAAAATTATGACTACTGCGACAAAAATTATAGTTAAAAGAGTATTTAGAGTCCTGAATCGGAAATTGAAACAAAAATGACCAATAAACACAAATAGTGTTAAATGATGCTTTAAATATGTCAAATTCATCTAAATTCATATCGACAAAAGTTGCTTTTGCAGGTACAGCTGGAAACGACTCACGACCTGACCAATAGAATTGGAGAACATTAATAACCATGAATGGTGTTAAATATTTTAAGTCAAGTCAAATGACAAAATTTGACATAATTGCTTGGCAGGTAGCAACCTTTGTAGGTACGTGTTACAAAATAAAGCAGGAAACAACACAACTGCCTTAAAAAGTGAATATTGTCCGAAATATCAAAGGCTGAAGTAAATTCACGTATACAGCTCTTTTTGACGTTCAATATTACAAAATAAATCAAGAGGCGACTCAACTCTGACCATGACAAATTGCATGTTCCTTAAACCCTGAGAATGAGCTCACTGGAGTGTTGCAAATGGAATGAGGACATTTATGAATATCCTGTGAAAGGGTTGCAAATCAAACGCAGGTGACTTTCTTTTCACGTTGGAAGGGAATTTCTCATGTCTGCATCTCTTCTTGAAAGCAGAAATGATCCACCGAAAGGATCACGCAACAAGTTGGGGGAAACCACAGATCGGCAAAAAGTTTAAAATGGGGTGGGGGCGGGGGAACGAGGATCGAAGTTTTGTTTTATTCATTTTCACAAAAATATATATATTTTTAATGGATGTAACAAATATTACAAGACTCTTGATCGATTGTGGCAGAAAATCAGACTTTGTGGGCGTTGTCACGAGGCCACCGCCCCCTTCTTTTCATCTTCTCCCCTCCACACCCTCTCCTCAGTGACGAATGGAAATCATGTCAGTGCTTCAGCGAGATCTCTGCTGAGTAGGTAAGTTTCTATACCTTCACAAGTGCAAGTCTGGATTTTTTGTGTGTGTGTGTGTGTGTGTGTGTGTGTGTGTGCACGCGCGTGTGTGTCATGCAATTTTGCCTGTGCCGTGCATACACAGAAAAAAACGCTGTACCTCCAGTGAAACCAAACAAACAGCTGGCTCAATGATGTGATGGGGCTGCTTTCCTACATCCGGAAGCGGACCTTTTGAATCTGTGCTGGTTGCAATGAAATCTCAAAACTATGGAGCCAACTGTGCCACCCACCGTGAGAAAACCTGATCAGTGTTGTGGCTTTTGGTATTCCGACATAATAGTGATAGAAAATCAATAGCTAATCAAAAACCAAACAAGATGTGCTCGGATTACAACACTGGATTATAATTGAAGAGTGGATCTAAATACTGTACTATTGGAGGTGTTGAAAAGAAGCAGAAGTGAGTATTTTCAATTGAATGCTCTATTGGCAGGAAGTCGGTGGGCTTGCTGCAGGACCTGAGCCATGTGGTGGATGGAGGCAATTGTGACACTGAGTTCTGGAGAAGCTGCACTTTGTTGCCGTGTGATGTGAGCTGCACACGGACAGACGGTAAGTACAGGACTTTTTATTTTAAGGTTTGAAGATAAAAAATATTTTTAGCCATATATCCATCTGTCTGTTTTGTTTGTATATCCACTTAATTAAATAAAATTGAGTTAATTCATCAATACACCATTTTTTTTTCAGCGTATACAACTAGCCCGATTAATATAGCGTCTGATATTAGGTATTTTAAAATCGGTAGATCGTCTTGGGGTTTTTTTTTGTGATTTTTTTTTTCTTATTTTGTCGGATTTTTTTCTTTTAATACCGTACATAAATACATAACAACCTAAGATATTGACACTCAAGGACCACCGCTGCCTGCATGTTTTGCCCATTCTGTTGCATTTACGACGACGTAAAAAGTCAAGCAATGAAAGATCTCGTCGGCTTTTTTTTTTCCGTTTGGACTTTCCCTTCGTTGGTGGTTTACAGACCAGCGCGAGATGGAAACCAGCGCACACACACACGCAAGGCGACGCGACCACAACACACCGCTTCCTGCCTCCTTTGACTCTGACATGAAAGTGAGTCCTGCTTCCAATAAGCGAACAATTGACAAGTGAAAAAAAACCCCGACGATTTCTACAACCGTGCATTGTGATTTGTGTTGTGATCGATTTATTCTAGTAGTGGCGCCATCCCCGCAGTCTCTTGTTCAGTTGAGCCACTGTACACATTTGTTGCACTATTTAGTAAATATTAGTATTGGTCAAATTGAGTAAATTATGTCATCCAGTTCAAACAAACTGTCAACGGTTCTTGTGAGAAAAAAGTTGAAATCCTACGTCTATGTTTTCCAATATTTCCCCTTTTGCTGAAGTCACTTTGGACACGTTGAGTATGTTGCACTACGCGGCTTACGACGCATCAAGACGTGTCACAGACACGGCGGTTGTCTGTGACACGTCTCTTGGTTCGCATAGCCTGACATTGGCATACGTTGAACTCTTTTGTGGCTGATAGTGTCTCAAAACAAGGCAGTGGTAACCCAAACGCAAACCGTCAGCAGATAGTTCAGCATTTCGATTTGGTCAACATATGATCGCTTCCCATTTGACCTGAAAGACGCCATTTCATGACCTAATTTGGTATTTTGCGCGTTCTTCCCTCACGCACAGATACAGTCTTGTGTTGGGAGGCGCTAGTGAGTGATGTCTGCCATCTAGGTGTGAACACTCTTACTACAACTGCAAACTGCTCAGCCCCAGGAAACATTTTGAGAACAATTTCAAGTGGGACTGCGCGCACATTCATCGCAAGTCATACTCGCACAGGTGCTCCTCACAGCTTCGCAAAAAAGGGGACAAAATCGATCGGTTTATCACTCGGGACGCTAAACACAATGAATCGCGCAGCTACTGTTCTGTTAGTCTAGCAGACGCATGTCGCGACAATTCCGTCGCGAGGAGAAACACGTGAGTGAGCGAACGAGGTCGCGTGACACGCGGTTGAAAGCAACGCAAGTCACGAACGGAATATACTGACCTTTTTTGTTTTTTTAACCGAAACCACAAAAACAGGTACGTGGGGCGTGTAACTTCCTGACAAACCAAGCAAAAAACATCCACGGCTCAAAAGGTAGGTTTTTACCCCAAAAAATATCAGACAAGCAAAAGCATCCAAACCTCAAAAGTCAGGTTTGCACTCTCAAAAAAAAAAATCACACCCCCCCCCCAAAAAAAAACAAGCAAAAGCATCCATGGCTCAAAACTTTTTCACCCTAAAACAAAAAACAAAGAAAAAAACGCCAAAGCATCCACACCTCAAAAATCAGGTTTTCACACAAAAAAAACCTAAAAAAAAACACCAAGGTAAAAGCAGGTTCCCACCCCAAAAACAAAACCCAAGCAAAAGCATCCATGACTCAAAAGCTTTTCACCCCCACCCCCAAAAAAAACAAGAAAAAAATGCCCAAAGCATCCACTCCACACCTCAAAAATCAGGTTTTTACTCTAAAAAAAAAAGCCAAAACATATACACATCAAAAGTAAGTTTTTTAACCCCCCCCCACCCACAAAAAAAAAAACCAACAACAACAACCAAAAGCACCCACGCCTCAAACGTCAAGTTGTGACCACATTGATCATGTTACGCCGCGGGTGGAAGGCAGGTGGTACCTTCAGGGACCCTTGATCGTGGTTTCACAACGTGACCTGTTTCAAATACACTACTGTAGTTTTTTTTTTGTTTTTTTAACCAACAAGTAAAACACCTCACAGGTGTTTGCTCTGCAAGTGGAAGTGAATGGCAGAACCGTTCATTTCCACTTCTGTTTTTCCTTCACCTGTGCGCGTCTGTGTGTGTGTGTGTGTGTGTGTGTGTGTGTGTGTGTGTGTGTGTGTGTGTGTGTGTGTGTGTGTGTGTGTGTGTGTGCGTCCACAGAATGCGAAGGAGGAAGCCGTGAGTTCCGCATCCCGCATCCCAAGCAGCGACAACGATGAGGACCGCTTTTGTCCTTCTTCTTTTGTTGCTTTGGGGCGCCGCCGCCGCCGCCGCCGCCGCCGCCGCCGTGAAGCTCAAGTGTCCCGAACACCAGCCCAACAGTGAGTTTCCATTTGAAGCATTTTGCCTTCATCTCACATGTGTTGTCTCAAATGTGTTGCGCTTTCACGTTAACCACAACTTTGGAGTCGATCGAAACATTTGAAGCGGCTGAAAAACAGGATGCACAGTTGGAACCTTGGGACGGTGTGGTTCTTTTGCATGCCGCTAGAGGGAGCCCAAGTACCAAACTGAGAAGCACTGCAAGTGTCTGTGTTATCATCCATCGGTTGTCAGTTTTGCAGTTTTAATTTGAACTGGGGATTTTTTTCAAATTCGTTTTGACTTCTTGAAAACTCACTAACTTTTAATTGCTGTTCAGTGTTTGTATTTGGGGGGAAAACGCTTTGATTTTAGTTTTAGCTTTAGTTTTTTTAGGGAGTATTTGTTGAGTGTGAGACCATGAAAAGGTCACTTAAGAGTGGTGTGATAAAGTCCCGTCAGCTGCATTTCTGTTCGCAGGATCAGCAATAACAAATTAAAAATATTGGAAATGAACTCCGAAAGCCCATGTACGATCTGAAATGACAAAGACTTTCACCGAAGGACATTTTGGCAGGAATTTGAGTCAGTTCCAGTTAGTTTTCATTTTTTCAAAGCACGAAAAAGTTTCGTTTTCCCGATTTTGTTCGTTTTTGTTTACAACAAAAACCTTGGGAAATCCGCCATCGAAACCAGGACGATAGTTGTGACTTTTGTGTGTGTGTGTGTGTGTGTGCGTGTGTGTGTGTGTGTGTGTGTGTGTGTGTGTGTGTGTGTGTGTGTGTGTGTGTGTGTGTCCTAGCAGGCCTGGTCTGCTGGAATGACTACAATCGAAACATGACGTGCGTCTGGAACAGCTCGGACACACGCACGGGCAGCGGCGCGGTGGCGTGCGGCATACACGCAAAAAGGATCAACGTCACGTTGCGGTGAGGGGAAAAACAATCCCAGTTTGGATGGAATGTCAAGTGGTGGCATTTGCATTTTTGTAACGAACACAGAACAATGATCCCATCGTGGATGGAAATTCCAATGGCGAACATTTGACGGCCATTTCAGATTCAGGTTTGCAGCCGGGGTTGGATTTAAAATGAGGGTTTTAAGACGAGGTTATGTTTTGAGATGAGGGTTTCAACGAAACATTCATTTCAAGGATTCATTGTTTTTTTTGTTTTGTTTTTTTCAAACAAGAGTTCAAGTTTTGGATCGGGGGGGTGTCCAATTTAAGTTCCAATGTAGGATTTCAAGCCAATGACGGGGTTTCAAGACTAGCTCGGGGTTTTAAACAAGGGTGGATGTTTCAAATTCGGGTTTTCAATCTGGAGTTCAGGTTTCAAGTGAGGGGTTCATGACTGGGTCAAGGAGTTCAGTCTTTGTTTGGGTCTCAAGCAAAACGTGTTTTCCCTGTTGCACTTTCAGTAGGCGCCAATACGAGTCTGAGTGTGTTCTTCGGCCGCTGGACGCGCGGACGGCTTCCTCGCCGCAGACGTGCTCGCTCATCTTTGGCAAAGACAGCATCGTGAGTGCCGACGCCACCGTTTGACACGCCTACGCCCTGGCAAACGGACTCATAATCTGCGCTTAAATTCAGAGCACAGATCCTGGTGGGGCGGAGGGAGGAGGGGGGGGGGAGAGGCTATGAGTGGCTTCCTTTTCAAGCCACCCTCTGACCTATTTGCTTGATTTTTGGTATTCAATTTATTGCTTAGGCGGCCAGGCGGTCCGTGGTTCGCACGTCAACCTCACAGTGCAGAGGTCGCGGGTTCGATCCCGGCTCCGGCCTTCCTGTGTGGAGTTTGCATGTTCTCCCCGTGCCGGCGTGGGCTTTCTCCGGGCACTCCGGTTTCCTTCCACTTTCCCAAAACATGCATGGCAGGCTGATTGAACACTCCAAATTGTCCCGAGGTGTGAGTGTGAGCGCGGATGGTTGTTCATCTCTGTGTGCCCTGCGATTGGCTGGCGACTGATTCAGGGTGTCCCCCGCCTACTGCCCGAAGACTGCTGGGATAGGCTCCAGCAAACCCCCCCGCGACCCGAGTGAGGATAAAGCGGTTTAGAAAATAGATGGATGGAATTTATTGCTTTATGTACGCCACCTTGTGGCTTCATGGTGCAAAGGAACGATTTTGAAGTGAGTGATGGAGCTTCATTTAGACAAAAGAGGTGCTTCGGTGCCATCTTGCCAACTTCTTTCCAAGGTTCTTCATGTCGAAAAAGATCAGAAAAAAATCGGGCTTTGCTGCTATACTGCGGCATGGTTCAGTCCCCGGATATAGTGGGGTGTTTTCAAAAGTAGCGATTTAAAACAAAAATACTCCAGTGGAGTCCAGAAAAATGAAAGTGATCAAGTCTTCTGGTTTTCAAAAGTATTTGTACTTCCCACCACTTTGCTGTGCTCAGTTTCAGTCGCACCACGTGTTGAGAGTTTGGATCAACTGCTCCAAGGTGGCGATGACCTACCAGCCCGCCTGTCACGGTGAGTGCGGCGTGTTGAAAGGGGCAGCCCGTCTACACAGCACCAAATAGTTTGGCCTTCACTCATCGGTTCCGGATTCGAGATGGCGTGACGTCACAAAAATAGCGATCAAATGCTCGATGACCAAACAAATTAGTCAAGTCTTAGCTAAAGGGGTCTGATCCCAAAGGGTGTCAGGCTCATTTCACCCTCCAAGGTGGGGGTCGGCAACCCAAAATGTTGAAAGAGCCATATAGGACAAAAAAAAAAAAAAAAAGAATGTCTGGAGCCGCAAAAAAATAAAAGCCTTCTATAAAACTTAGAATGAAGGAAACACATGCTGTATGTATGTTGGAGACTGGACTGTCTCAGAATTGTTCTTTGTTGTGTGTTCACAAACGACCCCATCGAATTTATTTTGTGATTTCCTCGCTTGATTTTTTTGTTTTGGTGCATTATTTTCGCTTTTCTTAGTGTCAGTGAAGTCATCATGAATTTCCGTTTTTCGGAGGCTGTCTTTGAACGCCTCTTGGGTTGAATGAGAAGAGAGAAGGCACGGAGTCGGACGCAGACGTGTCTGTGTTTGTCGAGACTGTTAAAAGCACAAATAAAGTGTACGTTTTAAAAAACTCAACACCACAGCGCTCCTTTTTCGGAGCCGCAACATGTATCTTGATCTATTTGAGCTATATTAGCCTACTATCAAAATCTTTTTCCATTTTCAAACCTTTTTTATGAAGCTCCAGGGAGCCACTAGATGTCGCTAAAGAGCCGCATGTGGCTCTGGAGCCGCGTGTTGCCGAGCCCCGCTCCAAGGGAACGTTGCTCTTTCCACCTGACACCACTCGGTGCCACGTCTACAAGAATATTTGACGCGATTCGTTGATATTTTTATGGTGCCCTTGAAGTCAGATTTCTCCGCGACCCCTTTTAGTCTGTGTCGCTGCCCTATGCGCTATATTGCCTTGCTCTCTGCGTTTCGCTTCTATTGCTCCTGCAGCCCATTTAGACGGTTAAAAAAAAAAAAAGAAGATGAATTTCAACCACTTTTCCCTCGTCTCTGTTGAAAGCCCAAACAGTACCTGAGCTTTACCCTGTTTACTTCCTGTTTGGACTTCTCCCGCAGCCCCCTTAGGCAGCAAGAGTACTAAATATACCTTTGGGTGGTTGAGCTCGATGGCGGTAACAATTATCCCTCCGTTGCTTGACAACATCGTGACTTGATGCTAACTGTGCTCTCTCCCTGTTTCTTTTGGTTCCTTTGTAATTCTTCTGCAGCCCATTTAGTTTGTGTGGTTGTGCGTGTGTGCGTCTGTGTGTGTTGCATGTGTGTGTGTTGCAATTGCAGTGAAGCTCCCTGCGCCAGGAAAGCCTGAAATCAACCAGACCACCGTCTCCTGGGCAGCTGCCAAGCAGGACTCGATGTCTCTGTACAACTTCCAGCTGGAGTGGAAGCAGGCCGATGAGCCCTGGGATGTGCGTTACTCAAACGTTGCGTCAAAAAATACGTAACACAACATGAAAGGAGGGAGATGTAGTGCTTCGTTTTTTTTTTTTCTGCTTCCAGTATTTCCAAACACTTCCTCTGTGTCTTATTTAATGATCTGTCGGTGGCGCGCTCCGCTGCAGTGTATCACGAGAAGATTTTGCCCAAGATTCTGCCTTTTCCCCAACTCTTTGGATACACGAAAATAAACGCTGACCTCCACCAGGGAGCGTCGGTACACAGAGAGAAGAAATCCTGCAAGGAGTCATGCCGATCCAATCTGAGTCTGGACCAGTTGAGCCGAGGGACGGCGTACGAGGCGCGCCTTCGGGTCAGAGCTTCGGAGGACGATGGGGTGGCGTCGGTGTGGAGCGACTGGAGCGCCGCCGCACGCTGGACGTCAGATGTCGGGGAGGCCGCGGCGCCACCCGCTGGTGCGTTGCGGTCTGACACGCTCGCCGGACTTCACATCCTGCTTTCCGAATTGAGACCAAAAGGGGATCCGTTTGTCCTCGATTGACGGTTTCAAATCAGGGTTTCGAAATTGTGGTCGAAGTCCGAGTCTGGGTTTCAAATGAGGGCCTGTTTCAAGCCTGGAGGTGGTTTTCCAGCGATTGTTTGGAACTAGGGTGAAAAAAACAAACAAACAAAATTTTCGAAGAATGGTTTCCAGCCAAAGTGAGCCTTTTCGAGTTTGGGTATCACCTCCAATTGAACCAAACCACTTTTGGAAGGATCTCCAAATCCCAAACGGGTCTTGTCTTTGTCAGACTCCCTGTGGCTGGTTTTGGGGGTGACGATCTCCGGAACAGCCTTTGCCGTCTTTCTGACTCTTCTGCTCTTTAGGAAAGACAAGATCAACTGGTAAGCACAAAAACAAGATCTTCCGTCATCCTCGAAACACTTCCTGAAACAAAATATTTTGTGTTTTTAGGGTTTATGTCTTCAAGAAGATTCGAGGCCCACGACTACCAGACCCGGGAAAGTCTTCCCTCCAGAACGTACGTTTGCCACAGCGACAGCCAACTCGCCGATTCAAGACGACCGCCACCGTGCACAATTGAGAGAAAACCGAATGGCCGGAGATAAAGACCCTGCCGGTGGAGCGGTCCGCTTTTTGTGACTTTGGTGCAGTCGTCATCGGGGTTCAGTTCCCACTCGGTGACGCTGTCCATTAGATGGTCAACGGTTTGCCTGTTTCTGCAGAATATGTGCCCTGCAAATGACTGATGACCAGTGCGGAGGGTAGTCACGTCCTGAGGGTCGAGGATAAGACTACACCTGGGACAGGTCGCCAGTCAGTCACAACCATCCTTATCGTGAGGATCCAGAATAAGACCGCCTGAAGATCCACAACAAGACCATACCTGGGACTGGTTCCCAGTCCGTCACAGGGCACATACAGAAAACAGGCGACCGTTCGCTTTCCCAGCCGCATCGTCACCGAATGGGAACTCAACCCAAACGACCTCCACCAAAGTCACTACCAGTCACCTTCTCGGGTCACTCGTGGTGACCCGAGAAATCACCTTTTGTCAACTGACCTTTTGTCAACTTCTGCTCTTCTCCAGAAGTGGCCACGTCCTCCTTTCAGCAGCGAGTCCTTGCAAGTCTTCCTGCGGCCCGTGGACGTCCTCGCGGTGATGCCTGTCGGCTGTGTGGAAACCGTAAGTCTCGGAGACCCTCGGTATCCAAGAGACCCTGGAGCTGTCCTGGAGAAGATGATGAGAAAGATCACCACAGTTGGCTTGTTCCCGCCCGCGAGCTCCCAACTGCGGCCTCCTCCCTTCCCTGTGGCCTCCCTCACTTCGGGCAACCTGAAACTGTGCGCCCCGGAGTCCCCCTACGGCACCGTGGGGGCCATCGCGGACCAGGACGGGGAGATGACGGATGCTCGGAAACTCTTCCTGGAAGTTATTGGCGGGGTCGGCGACAAGGCGACGCCAGTTATTTCAGACTATGAGAAGATCGAGAAACTCCAGGGTGAACGTTCGAAAGACGATGACGAGTCTGGAGGTCAATGTGGAGGTGCAGGCCGATCTCCCCTTGAAGGGGTTCTCATCAAAGGCTCCGTCCAGGTGAGTTTGGACTACGAATGCATCCGGACGCGACACCACCATGATAGCCCCGAGCTCCCCGGTGCGGATTCGGGCGTCGGGGGCGTACGCGAGGAGCACGCAGGGCCCGAGGTGAGCTTGGAGGACGGGGAGGAGAAGGCCTCCTGCTTGCCCTGTCCCCCTGGTCCTGCTGGTCCTTGTGGGTGCGCTCCTCCTTTGGACTTCCACCGTCCAACTCTGGAGAGTCTCCAAGCTCTCCTGCTGGATGCCACAGATTTCACACGTGGAGCAGTAGAACCCTCCAGCGGTGGTTATATGTCCGTGTGTCAGCGCGATCCCGAAACTGGTTGAAGGACATACACCCGCCATTGAGTTGGCGCACCCCTTCGACCCCCATGCTCATGCAAGTGCAAACAACAAATGTATGGAAGTTCAAGTTAATCACTGTCATTTAGATTCCATGGAAAATGCCAAGCGCTCATTTTAACGTCATATATGAGATAGCGCACCACCCTCTACCTTGCGTATACCCCCCCCCATCCCCTCAAAAAAAAGTCCAGAAGAAGCATTTTTGATGTTCAAATCTAATTTGTATAATGTGTACAGTTGAAATCCATCATTCCCAAACTTGTTGAACCACACAAGCCTTTTTATTTGGCGCACCCGCACCTCTCCCGCCCACAGTAAAAAATGACTTTTTTTTCCAGTGTTGGAGAAGAACAATATTTTATTCAGTTTATGGCTCCCTTTTTCAAACTTTTCAAGCCACGCGCCACTTTCAAAGTATCCTTTGAGCCGGCACACCCCTTATACCCCCCTCCCCTAAATGAAAGTGCCAAACATCTTCACATTTCAGTTCAACATGAATTTGTATCGTTTGCAGCAGTCTGTCGTGGACTTTTTAAGCGTATCCCCCAGAAACACCTTTAAAAAACAGCCCAAAAAGCTTTTTTTTTTTTTTTTTTTTTTTTTTACATTTTCAAGCACTTATTTGAACATTCCAAATGAGTGAGCACACCACCTTCTACTCCGCAACAAACACTCCTCCCTAAAGTTCTAAAGCATTTTTTTTGTCTTTTTTTTTGTTTGTTTGTTTGTTTGTTTGTTTGAACGTCTTTAGTCACCCGCTCCCTTCAACGCCGCCACTGAATTGGCGCACCAGCTCTCCTCCAACACGTACCTTATAATTTTTCTTTCAATGTTGCGCCCCCTCTCATTCCCTGACCCCCGCCCCCGCCCAAAAAAAAAATAAGTCTATAAATTGAAAAAAAGGACATTTCATGTTTGTAAACGTTTGTATTCTACTTAAACTGTGCAAGTCGAAGATGATTTCGGTGAAGCGACAATGAAGCATTAACATGTTGAACAACTGTTGGGTGTGAATTTTATTATTTTTTTTTAGATTTTTTTTTTTTTTTTTTTTTTTTTTTTTACATGACATTCCACATTGCGCCGCTGCTGCTTCATCGGTTGTTTAGTTTTTGTGTCAGCCTGCAGATGGTTTCACTGGAGACTTGAAAATAGTGAAGACAAGCGATATTTTCTTTTCCACAGAAGCTGGGGGGGGGAAGTAGGCCAAGACAAGACAGTGTTTTGCTAAGTAAAGATTTGTTTTTGGCCACGGAAACGTTTGCTGTTATGTAACATTCACACCCACTTGCAGAAAAAGTGCACCAACACTCCCTGCCCCCCCCAAAATATATACTGTATACTTTTTACATAAATATGATATTTCTCAGAGAAAAAAAAAACTCACTTTTTCCTTCGTATAAAGTCATGAGAAAGACTGTCTTGCAACTTCTCTGAAAAAAATCTTTCTTTGATTTAAAAAAAAAATCGATAACATGGTCATAAGACTACAAAGAAAAACGGAACTTTTTCTTGAGGGGAAAAAAAACTGTAATTTTTATTGTAAGAAATTATTCATAATTATTTTAAAATTTTGATTTGGCAAAAGATGATGGTTTGTAAATTTAGTTTTTCTATTTAGAGATTTTCTTGAAAAAAAACCCTTTTTCCTCGAAGAAAAAAAAATTCTCTTAATTAAAAATATTTTTCTCTTCAGAAATACTAAACAAATTCTCTAAAAGAAATGCTACTTTCAAAAAAAGAAACTACAACATCTGTGTTTATGATACGTCAATTTTCATTTTTTTTTTCTTGGGCAAAAATTGCAGTACTTACATTGAACAAACTCATTCCTCCAGCAAAAGCAAAACTAACATTGCAGAGAAATGTGGTTCCCTCCATCGTTCCCTTGGGATCCCGTCCTGTCCTGTGGCTTCGTGGTTAGACTGGGAGGAGGGTGCACAGTGCAGACAAAGTCCGGCAGGCAGTGGACGAGAAGCAAAACTATTACGCCAGAAGAAGAAAACAGCTTGCCCTACATCTCGCCCAGGGATCAAGCAGGCTATCTATCTATATCTATCAATATATTTATATATATATATATATATATACATTCATTCATTCATTCATTCATTCATTTTCCGAACCGCTTTTATCCTCACAAAGGTCGCGGGGGGTGCTGGAGCCTATCCCAGCTGTCTTTGGGCAGTAGGCGGGGGACACCCTGAACCGGCTGCCAGCCAATGGCAGGACAGGACAGTCATGATTGTCATTATTTTTCCACATGAGCTTATTATCAACAAAACGATGTCCAAGTCTTGTAAATGGAGGAGTAAGAATGACGGATGGAGGGAGGGAAGGAAGGGAGTGTGGGAGAGAGAGCCTCTGTTCCGGCTTGTGTGTGTGTGCGTGTGCGAGCGCGCGGGTGCATCGGACAGAGGCTGAGACTTTCTCCTCAGTTGTTCCTCCTCGCAGTGGAGCACCGCGACTCCTTTTTTCTCTCGCTTTCACATTTTCTTTTTCATCTTGTGGTGAAAGGTAAGACGCAACCCCCCTCCCCCCATCCCCTCCCTCCTCAAAAATCATTTTGTGCGCGTGCATGTACATGTATCTTATTTTGCGCTTTCGTGCACGCCCCGAGCGTGCGCGGGCGGGGGTGGGGGGGGGGGAGGTTTGCTCTCGCGTGCATACGTGGCCAAAGTGATGTTAGTTGATGCTAGCTTGTTGTAGGGAAGTAAAAGGGGGGGGGGGGCTGGTTCGGATGTTGTTGTGAGGTGACGTCACGGGCGCGCACGTGAATGACTCGTTCAAACTGCCTCGCCAAATATGAATGGAGCATCCGCACAGAATAATTGACGGTACGGCGGCGTAATTTGCTGTCCGTTGCAACGTGATGCAATGAAAATTCCGCGGAAGGAAACAAGCATCCGAACGGTTTTGGAATATGCCTGCAACGGTAACTGCAAAAACAACAAAATAACGTGAACCAAGCCGCTACTCCTCCTATTCCATCGTGGTTTGCCTTCTGGTTTTCTGTTTCTACTTGATGATGAAACATATGGAAAAATTTGAGGGGAAAATAATCATCCGTTTTGGGTTTTATTCCACGTCCAATATTCACACTTAAAATACTGTACTGTGTAAAAAAAAAAAAAAGTGGGGGGGGGAATACTTTTGACAAAATTTTTGAAAATTGTTTTTTTTAAATTAGATTAGCAAAGAAAAAAAAACAATCCATCATCTAAAAATGCTTGGCCCCCAAAGATGTTGCTTCTCCAGGACAGACTTTCCGCTGTAGTTTGCGACGGTGCAGAACGATCCCAATCTTGTTTACGTCCACATGGCAGCACAATCAACCCCATTCTTGACTCGCATCCAAATTGGAACCGCATAGTTTGGATGTTATCTGCACCGGAGCGCAGATAACAACCAAATGGAGCTAACATCATCAGCGATTCTCCGGGTTGCTTTTCATAATTTGCTGACAAAAATAGCTAGCTTAGCTTACGTGGATGTCAAGAAGCTCAGCTCATTGGGACTGCTTTTGACATTAATTAAAACGTGAACATTTAGTTTGCGGAAGAGTCAAATGTCTGATGTTTTCTGAAAACGCAAACGCATACGTTAGGTGTCTTTGATGTTTATGAAAAATATGGATTTGAGGTTGATTGAAGACTCCCAAATTTTCATTGATGGAGGCTAAAACTGGCAGCTAGGTTTGGGTAAGACGCTAATTTACAGCCAACGTTTGCCGTAAGACGTACGCTGAAGTTAAGAGACTCTAAAGTGTCATAACTCGTAGCTAATTTGGGGGTAAAGAGTCAATTGTCATCGATGTTTACGACAGCGCAAACGCAGACTCTACTTCGAGGGCGCTGTATTGACCCCAACATTGTCGTTGATATTTAAAAACAGGTGCGCAAATTCTTCAAAGTTGACAAAAACGTGTTTGCGGAATTTGAACAAAAACAGAGATGATGGTTTGATCAGGACTAAGTTCCCTGTGATGTTGACAACAACAAAAAAAGTGTTGTTCACAGAAGACTAAATTATCTTAAGAAGTTTGCAAAAAAAAAAAAAAACGCATACCTTTGGTTCATTGAGGACTCAATTGGCTTCGGTGCTTGCCAAACGTACATTTTGTTCATTGAAAAGTTGTGCGTGCTGACACGTCGTCGATGTTGTGCAGCGATGTACGCTGGCTTCCTGTAGGTGTCCAGATACTTTTGAAAACATGTGCATTCACTTTAAATGGCGCACGGAGCACTTTTAGCATATGGTTTGTGTTACGTAACCCCACGGACGGGGGGGGAAGGGGCGGGGGGCACACGGACCGACTTTATACCTATATGGCCTTCATGACTGACAACAACACACGACAGTGACACTGAAGCGACCAAAACTGAAAGGTACCAAGAAGCTACGCGAGAGATATGAATGAGCTCACGGATCTCGCGCGCACACCACACACACACACACACACACACACACACACACACACACACACACACACACACACACACACACACACCCAGAGGGAGCTGGTTGGGAGACACAAGGCGCAGGGCTAAGTGTACCCCCTTAGGGAACTGATTCTACACTATATGTCCCAAATTACATCACAAAAATAGCCCACAACAGAGTGGATGAAAGGGGGGGGGGGGGGGGAGACGTGGGCCTGGGGGGTGAGTTCATGGTTCACCCATCGGGGCCTGCCTGGTGGGCCTCCGGGAGAGCAGACGTGAGGTGTCGGCATGGTCACGAGGCAGGCCAGGAGGCCAAAGAACAGGAATTTTTTGAAACTGGTTTCTGGAGCTGCTGCGATGCTGGACCCGAACGAGTTCAGGGCGCGCCCGTCGAGACCTGGCCGCTGGGCGTCAGGGAGACCAGACTGGAGGTGCCGAGCCGGTTAGGAAGGCAGCCCAAGAGTTTTTCGGGACTTGAGTCTGCTGTGATCCTTGAGTTGCCACGGCATGAGAATGGGAAGCGGCAGCCGCCGCGGAGCAGGAAAAAACGTCATAGAGGTTGGGGAGCTCAAGAAGCAAGGGCAGTCAGTGTGTGTCGCAACTAGGCAAGGTAAGCTACGAAAAACGGCTGGCACAGGATGCGGTGAAGAACCTGGTAATGGACGGGGTGACTTCGAGACAGGGTCGGAAGGCCCGGACTTTGATCAGAGAACTTGGAACGAGGCCTGGAAATAGGTATGGTGCTTGGTAAAGGGGCCCAGGGATCAATCAAAAACCCCAAGCAAAACTAACTGAAAAACTAGCAGAGAAGTCCAAATGTCTGTGTCAGAAAGGCGGATTACTAATTCTCCTTCGTCCGGATTACGTCACTTTTCGGTCACGAAATCAATCAAAACTGGCCTGTCGGTGGAGAATTTCCAGAAAAACATCGTTGAATGTCTCATGGAGTGTGGCTGCAACATAGCAAAATGTCCAAAACACAGAGGTGGCTCAGCACTGAATCCGCCGGTGTCCTCTTCATCCCAGGTGTCGTCATCGTCGTCCGCCATGTTGTCCTGGTTCAGCTTGCCGTTCTTGGTCCTGTTCCTGCTGCCGCCAGCGCGCTGCCTTCCGTCGCCGCCGCGGCCGCCCTCGCGCTACTGCCGCCGATGCTGCGACCACTTGGATTCTCAGGCTTTGGGCTCCGCCCCCTACTACCGCCCCGCCGAGGTCCGCACCGTGGTCAACATGACCATCCTCAAAGGTAATCCGATCGGCGTCGCGTGTCCTAACCGCTCCGAGTTAAGACGAGTTGGATTGATGGGCTTCGCTGTTCACTCATCCAAAACCGGTGACTCGAGGCACAAACTGGGCGTCGTCAGTAGATTCAGCGGTTCTACTCAAAATGTTTTTCGACTTTGCTACATTCCAAAAGAAAATCACAATTAGGCGACTTTTCCACGACTAATGGACGATAGGTTCCAAAGAGGAATCCGGGAAGTAATTCATTTATAAATGCTGAACCGTGAATACGGGGACTCGACTTTATCCACTCCAACTGTGGTTTTCATCATAAA